TCATATGAGAATTGCTACTGCAGCTTTCTTTTGATTTCCATTTGCATGGAATATCTTTTTCCATCCCCTCACTTTCAGTCTGTATGTGTCCCTAGGTCTGAAGTGGGTCTCTTGTAGACAACATAGGTCTTGTTTTCGGATCCATTCAGCTAGTCTATGTCTTTTGGTTGGAGCATTTAATCCATTTACATTTAAGGTGGTTATCAATATGTATTTTCCTTTACCATATTCTTAATTGTTTGAGTTTGTTATTGTAGGTCTTTTCCTTCCCTTGTGTTTCCTGCCTAGAGAAGTTCCTTTAGCATTTGTTGTAAAGCTGGTTTGGTGGTGCTGAATTTTCTTAGCTTTTGCTTGCCTGTAAAGATTTTAATTTCTCTGTCGAATCTGAATGAGATCTCTCTGGGTAGACTAATCTTGGTTGTAGGTTTTCCCCTTTCATCACTTTAAATATGTGCTGCCACTTCCTTGTGGCTTGCAGAGTTTCTGCTGAAAGATCAGTTGTTAACCTTATGGGATTCCCTTGTATGTTACTTTTTGCTTTGCCCTTGCTGCTTTTAATATTTTTTCTTTGTATTTAATTGCTGATAGCTTGATTAATATGTGTCTTGGTGTGTTTCCCCTTGGATTTATCCTGTATGGGACTCTCTGAGCTTCCTGGACTTGACTATTTCTTTCCCATATTAGGGAAGTTTTCAACTATAATCTCTTCAAATATTTTCTCAGTCCCTTTCTTTTTCTCTTCTTCTTCTGGGACCCCTATAACTCGAATGTTGGTGCATTTAATGTTGTCCCAGAGGTCTCTGAGACTGTCCTCCATTCTTTTCATTCTTTTTTCTTTATTCTGCTCTGTGGTAGTTATTTCCACTACTTTATCTTCCAGGTCACTTATCCGTTCTTCAGCCTCAGTTATTCTGCTACTGATTCCTTCTAGAGAATTTTAAATTTCATTTATTGTGTTGCTCATCAGCGTTTGTTTGCTCTTTAGTTCTTCTAGGTCCTTTTTAAAAGTTTCCTGTATTTTCTCCATTCTATTTCCAAGATTTTGGATCATCTTTACTATCATTACTCTGAATTCTTTTTCTGGTAGACTGCCTATTTCCTCTTCATTTTTTTGGTCTGGTGGGTTTTTATCTTGCTCCTTCATCTGCTGCATGTTTCTCTGTCTTCTCATTTTGCTTAACTTACTGTGTTTGGGGTCTCCTTTTCATAGGCTGCAGATTCGTCGTTCCTGTTGTTTTTGACGTCTGCCCCCAGTGGCTAAGGTTGGTTCAGTGGGTTGTGTAGGCTTCTTGGTGGAGGGGACTGGTGCCTGTATTCTGGTGGATGAGGTTGGATCTTGTCTTTCTGGTGGGCAGAACTGCGAGGGACCCCTATAATTCGAATGTTGGTGCGTTTAGTGTCCCAGAGATCTCTGAGACTGTCTTCAATCCTTTTCATTCTTTTTTCTTTATTCTGCTCTGCAGTAGTTATTTGCACTATTTTTTCTTCCAGGTCACTTCTCTGTTCTTCTACCTCAGTTATTCTGCTATTGTTTCCTTTTAGAGAATATTTAGTTTCATTTATTGTGTTGTTCATCACTGTTTGTTCTTTAGTTCTTCTAGGTCCTTGTTAAATGTTTCTTGTATCTTCTCCATTCTATTTCCAAGATTTTGGATCATCTTTACTATCATTACTATGAATTCCTTTTCAGTTAGACTTCCTATTTCCTCTTCATTTGTTTGGTCTGGTGGGTTTTTACCTTGCTCCTTCATCTGCTGCGTATTCCTCTGTCTTCTCATTTTGCTTAACTTAGTGTGTTTGGGGTCTCTTTTTCATAGGCTGCAGATTCATAGTTCCTGTTGTTTTTGGTGTCTGCCCCCAGTGGGTAAGGTTAGTTCAGTGGGTTGTGTAGGCTTCCGGGTGGAGGGGATTGGTATCTGTGTCCTGGTGGATGAGGCGATCTGGATCTTGTCTTTCTGGTGGGCAGGACCGCATCCAGTAGTGTGTTTTGGGGTGTCTGTGACCTTACAATGATTTTAGGCAGCCTCTCTGCTAATGGGTGGGGTTGTGTTCCTGTCTTGCTAGTTGCTTGGCCTAGGGTGTCCAGCACTATAGCTTGTTAGTCGTTGAGTGGAGCTGGGTCTTAGGATTGAGATGGAGATCTCTGGGAGAGCTTTCTCTGTTTGATATTACGTAGAGCCGGGAGGTCTCTGATAGACCAATGTCCTGAACTCGGCTCTCCCACCTCAGAGGCACAGGCCTGACACCTGGCCGGAGCACCAAGACCCTGTCAGCCACATGGCTCAGAAGAAAAGGGAGACAAATAAAAAGAAAGAAAAAATAATACTAAAATAAAATAAAATAAAGTTATAAAAATAAAACTGTTTTTTAAATTATTAAAAATAAAAAAAATTAAAAGTAAGAAAAAAAAAAAGAAAGAAGAGAGCAACCAAACCAAAAAGATCCACCAATGATAACAAGTGCTCAAAACTATCCAAAAAAAAAAGCAGACAGACAGAACCCTAGGACAAATGGTAAAAGCAAAGCTATACAGACAAAATCACACAAAGAAGCATACACATACACACTCACAAAAAGAGAAACAGGAAAAAAATATACATATATCTCTATGTAAAAAAAAAAAAATGGAACAGAGCAACCAAATCAATAAACAAATCTACCAATGACCATAAACTCTAAATACTAAACAAGATAAACATAAAACCAGAAACAAATTAGATGCAGAAAACAAACCCCAAGCCTACAGATGATCCCAAAATCCACTGCCTCAATTTTGGGATGATTCGTTGTCTATTCAGGTACTCCACAGATGCAGGTACATCAAGTTGATTGTGGAGATTAAATCCACTGCTCCTGAGGTTGCACGGAGAAATTTCCCTTTCTCTTCTTTGTTCGCACAGCTCCTGGGGCTCAGCTTTGGATTTGGCCCCTCCTCTGCATGTAGGTCTCCTGAGGGCGTCTGTTCTTTGCTCAGAAAGGACGGGTTAAAATAGCAGCTGATTAGGGGGCTCTGGCTCACTCAGGCCGGTGGGGCAGAAAGGCGTATGGAATGTGGGCCGAGCCTGTGGCGGCAGAGGCCAGCATGACACTGCAACAGCCTGACCTGTGCTGTGTGTTCTCCCGGGGAAGTTGTCGCTGGGTCCCGGGACCCTGGCAGTGGCGGGCTGCACAGGCTCCCAGGAGGGGAGGTGTGGATAGTGACCTGTGCTCGCACACAGGCTTCTTGGTGGCGGCAGCAGCAGCCTTAGCATTTCATGCCCGTCTCTGGGGTCCGTGCTGACAGCCACGGCTCGCGCCCATCTCTGGAGCTCATTTAGGCAGTGCTCTGAATCCCCTCTCCTCACTCACCCTGAAACAACGGTCTCTTGCCTCTTAGGCAGGTCCAGACCTTTTCCCGGACTCCCTCCTGGCTAGCTGTGCACACTAGCCCCCTTCAGACTGTGTTCACGCAACCAACTCCAGTCCTCTCCCTGGGATCTGACCTCCGAAACCCGAAACCGGAGCCTCAGCTCCCAGCCCCCGCTCGCCCCGGCGGTTGAGCAGACAAGCCTCTCGGGCTGGTGAGTGCTGGTCGGCACCGATCCTCTGTGCGAGAATCTCTCCACTTTGCCCTCCACACCCCTGTTGCTGCGCTCTCCTCGGTGCTCCAAAGCTCTCCCCCCTCGCCCACCGCCCATCTCCGCCAGTGAAGGGGCTTCCTAGTGTGTGGAAACATTTCCTCCTTCACAGCTCCCTCCCAGAGGTGCAGGTCCTGTCCCCATTCTTTTGTCTCTATATTTTATTTTGCCCTACCCAGGTCCATGGGGAGTTTCTTGCCTTTTGGGAAGTCTGAGGTCTTCTGCCAGCGTTCAGTAGGTGTTCTGTAGGAGTTGTTCCACATGTAGATGTATTTCTGATGTATCTGTGGGGAGGAAGGTGATCTCCACGTCTTACTCCTCCACCATCTTGAAGGTCTCTCCTAAGCAGGCCTTTTGGAAGGTGAACCTAACCTAGCACTTAATCATCTTTAAAATATATGTCCTGTAAGCTTCCAAGTTTCAAACTACCTTATAAATGAATTTTGGGAACAAAACCCATGTGTAAACTGGAGGGAGGGGTGGGGGTGTTGAGTTTAGAAATAATCAGTATGAAAATGAGAACATCTGTAAGAACTAGTAACTTTCACAGCCTATCAGTTCCAGGTTATAAACAGAAACAATAGACTTTTTTTTTTTACTGTGCCTCTACCACACTCAAAGCTCTGTGCCCAACACCCAAGGGGGAATTTTATCCTCAAGCTCACAAACCTACTTACTGTACAACATCACTGAGCTCTATAGCTTAGCAGCCTTGAGAAAACAGTACATATTATAGCTGATTCATAGGAAAATATATTCTAAACACCTACTGAAAATCCTAGAAAACATCTCCCCTTGACCTGGTCTTGCAGACTATTCCTTGCTGTGGTATCCAGCATGTCAGCATGTCATGTGTTCTACAGTGTTCAGTATCTACAGAATTCATCATCATCATTATCATCACGATACAGCACCCATTTATGGAGGGCCTACTCCATGCCAGGCATATAGTAACTCTAATCTTCAAAATAATGCTAAAGGTAGGTATTATCATCCACATTTTACAAATGAAGATATAAAGTCAAAGAGACTTAACAACTTGCCTATGGTCACATGACATGCAGTATTAGAACTGGAATTGTACCTTACATCTGACTGATGCCAAAACCCATCCTCTTTCCTCTAAAACTTGAGTCCCATTCTAGCCCAACTCCTTAGACTTCTTTTTTGGCATCCCCTATAGAAGGGCATTTGGTTACTGAAAAGATGGACAGACACTGGAAAACAATCTTAACTGTAAATATTCTCAAGGTACTAATGTAAATTAATGTCCAACCAGAAAGACCATAAGAATAAATGTACAAACAAATAAATTTTCTTTAAAAGTACTAGATCCAGGAGTAAAAATATGTATTAAAGAAAAAAATTATATGGCCAACTTACATACAGTATTAGACCAAGAGTTGACTCCTCATTTCCCAAACTTCAGCAGACACAACAATACCCCCCGCTTTCTGCTACTAAAACAGCTACTAGAGGACAAAGAGTAAATATACATTTAAGTAACCCAAATTGCTCTAGTATATCTAGTAAATTGTTTCTGTCTGTGAATTTTTCCAAAAGGGAATTTTATGTTGAATAATATTTTTAAAAGAACAAAACAGCTTCAGTTTTAAAGAGCTATTCTGGTGTGGTAGGTCCCATCTCACATCACTCACCAGTGTTTGTCAAAGAGCACTGGCATTTTGGGCAGGGCAATTTCTTGTTGTTTGGAACTGCCCTAAGCATTGAAAAACATTTAGCAGCCCTGGCTCGTGCCCACTAAATGCCAGTGCACGCCCCCTCCCCACTCTGAGATAACCAAACATGGCCTTACATGTTTCCAAATTCCCACAGAGAGGCAATGTTCTCCCACTGAGAGACACTGATTGCTAGACTCTTTCCGCATTCTATTTCCAGGCTGCTAGAGACTTTCTACAATGTTTATTTATGTAATTCTGCCACAGCTGTTTACTCAACCTTTCTGAAAGTGCTTGTTTATAGTTTCTTACTTCACCCCAAAAGTTGTCTTTAAAAATAACACAACAATTGTTTCATGTTTACCTGAATAAGATTTTTAAGCTATTTTTTAAGTCCAAAAAGCTAATTTTGTGACTACATAGTAATACAATACTATATAATTACTGGAGACAAAAATAAAAGTTAAAATGCTTTAGAATCACAGTATCCTAAAATGTAAGAAATGGAAGGGAATGGGAGTTCATCTCTTCCAGGGGCTATGTGAGTCTGATGTAAAACAAAACCAAAAAAGTTGTGGATATGTGCATTTTTCCAGTTAGGGAGTTGGACATTTTTATATCAAGTACTCAAAAAGTTCATGATCCAAAAGAAGTTAAGAACCAGTGATCTGTTTCCTGGCAAAGCAAATGAGACCCAAAGTGATTAAGTGAAGTGACAAGATCAAGAATGTATACTACTGGGTCTTGCTACAACAAACATGTAAAGTGAACTCCTAGAAATGGCCAGACTCATCAAAGGGGTAAAAAATTCCACAAGACCATTCACTGCCTACTATGCAACAACTAAGTTCCTAAATAAAGCATGTTGTTTATAATAGTCACACATTAGGGGAGTAGGTTATTTTAAAGTGAAAGCTCTTGGAATAAGTATCCCTAATTTGTTTGTTTTCAAGTTTGGTTTTCTGATTATGTATTGATAATATCTTCCTAGAGCGTATCTATACGTTTAAATGTTACTGTTACAACAGCAATAAATTCGATTCTCAAAATTTTTTTAAAAACCTATATTTGAAAAATTTAGATTACCCAAGAAATAATTTTCTGATCAGGGAAGAAGTCTCTGGTATAAAGATACCGTTTAAAAGACAATATCTCAATAGATCCTCAACAATAATCCTAGTAAGTAGGCAGGTGTTTTTAATCCTTAATCTTTTTATTTTATAAAAATAAAATAGGTTAAGTAACTTTCTGAGATTATAAAACTGTTGCCGGGTAGTACCAGGACTAGCTCCAAGCACTCTGACTCCATGTCCAGAGTGTTTTCCCATTTCACAACTGCCTTTTCTACAAACACCATACAGAAACAATTTAAATGCCACAAAAGAAACAGTTTTTAAAGCCATGTTGATAAACTACTGTTAATACCAAAATAACACCTTTTTTTTTCAAAAACTGACAAAGAAGAAACTTCCACAGAACATGAAAAATTCTACCTTGAGCCCTGACCTACAATTTCTATAAAGTACGTTACTGAACAAAAAGAAAAATAGTTCAAATAGTTTGGATAGATAATAACAAATCATCAAAACTGGAAAAATGTTATTCCCAGTCTATGGCTTCCTGTCAATGGATTATTATTACCTTCAGGTAAATAAAATAAGTGATTCTCAGCTTTGCGGATGAAAATCAAAGTTTACATTTGCCACTGAAACAACTTCCAGGCAACAGGCATTTGAAAACAAGCATACAAACAAAATCTCCCTAAGAACTGATTAAGTACCAATTGTATTTTAACAATTGCAACACCCCCAAAACCATACAAGATCATTTCTCTTTAAAGGAAGAGCAGTCACAGAAGTATGTTTACTCCCTCAGATTACCTGTCTCTTCAGGTGCTTAGATCAGAAAGGCTACTAAATAATAAAATTAAATTACTACCTCACATCTTTTTTATCCTATGCTCTTGTAATTAGAATGGCATTCTCAAAATTGAATAAGCATTACAGTTAGGAAAAACATACTTAAGTCAATGAAACTCTCCTTAAATAAAAGCACACAAATGTGAATCACAGGCTATGGACACTAAAAACTTTTAGGAAGAAAAACATGTTTGCCTTGAAGACCCTGCAACTCATCTTTCCTGTCAACATTAAAACCCAAACACAGAAACCATTAAGCAAGCAACATTTGCATCCCATTATTGCTTTTAAATGACAAATCTCAGTCCCTAAAAAGGTTACTCCATCGTTTGAGAATAATTTTCTGATAACAATGAAAACAAGCTCTGTCATTAAATTTCTAAATTGCATTTTATCCTTTCCTTTTCAGTCCACCACACGTAAAAGCAACAGTTGTCAGTTTAAAAAGAATCAACCTCTTTACCAAATAAATGTACATGATTCACAGCTTCGTCACTTTATATCAGGTATGTACTGAGAACTATAACAAAACACACTACTCAACTTAATGTCCAGAGAAAGAATAAAAGGAGGAAACAGGAAGAGTACGGGGCTATTCTCTGGGGAGCCCCTATTAGTGGGGGCATCCCTTCATTCATTTTTCACTCAATGGTTCCCTATCAGGGCCAAACCCCAAAGTTGGAAGATACAACCTAGCCTCTGCCAGACTGCCTTCATTCCTCCTGCACCCAAGACAGGAGCTTGTCTCCCCCCCCCCCCCCCCCCCCCGACAATCCTCAGCTCCATTGCAATAGTGATCCCGGCCAGTCTCGGTGCCCCAGCTGTCAAGACTATTCATTCCTTCTTGAAGCATTTTCTCAATAATCCTACAAAATAGTCAGCTCTCCCTGGTATATTTCCCTAGACTATCTAGCTAACGCCATACTTCACTAACTTTCTGCCAATGCTAACTGGACATGGGTCACTATCACTTAAGTTTTATCCACACTGCTTTCCTCTACCAGATTGCCAATCCCCACTGACCAACCCTAAAATCCAAGAAACTATCACCAACCGACTTCTAGGTCCTGAAAAGAGTTATCTTTGTCTTTACCATACACCTACTCCAGAGGTTTCCAATTCCAATCCAAAATGCCGAAGTCCCACTCCTCAACCCAATATCAACATACCTTTTGGCGGATTCTAAGCATTCTACAATACCTACCTTTTCGGATCCTTCCCCCTCCCAAGCCTGAGTCTGGTCTCCCTGGCTACGAGCCTGCCGAGTCCTGACAGCTCTATGCTTGACAGCCCGCCGACCTCCACCCCATCAGATCTCCGGGGTCGCCCTTCCCGCCGTCCTCCAGCCTTCTTTCCGCTCGGACACTCTTCCACTGACCGGGGAGCCTCGGCCTCTCCTAGACCCTCTCCTCGACCCAGGTGTCCCCTTCCGGATCTCGCCGACCCTTCTCCAGGTTAAGCAGAGCCCCTCGCCCTTCAGGCCCCATCTGTGGTCCTGGCTCCTCGTACTTGCCAGCAGGGTTCCCAGGCTGCAAAAACGCAAGCGGTTCTTCTTCCCGAGGGCCACCACCTTCCTCAGGCCCCTTCCCTCAGCACCAAGTCCACCGCGCTTCCCCGGGGAATCCCAACTCACCCCCGCCTCCGCCATCTTCTGGGACCGGCCCCCACGCCCCTCCGCCGCTTCCTCCTCCCCTCCCACAACTCCTCCCGAGCTCCACTGCGCCTGTGCGGCCGACGCGGATACGCTCGGACGATCGGGGCAGAACAACTTCCGGTTCCCACCGGCGCCAGGTAGTGGGCCCGCGAGCCGGGGCAAAAGAACTTCCGGTCTCCGCGAGGGTAGCGGCCGGCTGTAGGCGTGGACTGTCGAGTGGTGAAAGGCTGGTAGATCCGCTGTTGTTTGCTGACCGGGCAGTCGTCGTTTTTACTGGTACATTTATTAATGAAAATTGAAGGAGAAATTAAATTTGCAACAAAATGCATCAAAGCAAGTATTTGTATGGCCTTTCTTGTTTTCTCTAATGTTTCCTAAAGGTCTTAAATTTGTCTCCTGTAGATTTTCACAGTACCAGTAAAAAAAGGGATGTGGGTGGATTATACTGAATGGAGGAGGAATTTTAAAAAGAAAGGAGAAGAGCACCCAGAAAAGAACCCAGAAAAGAGACAATAACTTCAAAATGTCCTGACATCATTGCTCTCTTTAAAGCAACATGAGTCCTGTTCATCCAGGTCTTGCCTCCTCTAACCCAGCTTTTTCAAACACTTCAAAATTGCCTTCAGTGAAATTGCCTTCAATGAAAATCTTACGGAAGATTTTAGCCTGGAGAGACCTTTGTTTTAGTTTAAGTATTTACTGATTGCAAGGAGGGACAAGACCTAAAAAGCAAGAACTGTGTGGCCCCCAGTTCCTAAGGTTCTTCCATCCAACGCAGTCATTCCTACTTCAGTATGAGGCAGAATACAAAGTCCTCAGGAGAAATACAGAGAGCCACTGTCTTCTGATTAAGTTTGGGAACAGTTTTCATGCATGATAAGGAGGGAGATATGATGAAGCTGTGCATTCTCTGGGAGCTCAGAGATGGAAAAACATGAAATAGATGGTGGAGCCTGGAGCGTAGACAGATGTATTGAGTGAGACATGAGATCTGAATGTCACACTCATGAATTTGGACTAAATATTTGTTATTATCATGGAAACATGAAAATCACAAATTACTTGATGCCAGAGTATAAATTGATGAAGAACGCTGAGAAATCAGAATAACTTTGGGTTACTTTGAAGCTGGTGTAATATGGCTGAGAGAACAGTGGTGAAGGATTGAAACCTGGCGCTGTGACAGCAAGTGCATAATCATGTCCAATAAATTGATTTCTCTAGGCTTTTTTGTTCCCATTTGTAAAATGAAGGATTGGTCTAGATTATTTCTAAGGTTCTCTTCATAGGCAAAAGTATCAATGATTTGCTAATTCTGTGACTTCAGAAAAGTTTTTTCCATTAACCTTACATGTTGTTTGGTTTCCCAACTGAGTGGGACAAAAGGTAAACTAGAAAACAAAAACCTTTTTACTTAGCTAACACAAACACCCACAAAAGTTTATTTGCCTTGTTGAAGTGCGATATTGTTAGACTAACATTAATGATTGTCCAAGGGTTGATGACTAAGCCTCTAAAAACCTTGAACTTGGAAGCCTTTCCCGAATTAAAAGCATCTGGAGTTTTCCTAGTCAGTACCTAGAACCCAAAACACTAGAGACTCTAGTACTAGTTTTGGTGGTGTTTTGATGTAGGAATACATAGAGTTGTGGGACACAAAAAGTCAAGGATTTTTGCCTTTTTGAGATTACAGGATGGATCATTTGTTAATCCATTCATCCCTCAACAACTATCACCTGAACGTCATGCACATCCCAGGCACTTGGCACTGGACCTCAGGAGGAAAAAACCTTTTCTGCCTTGTGAAGTTTGCAGTACAGTTGGGGAAACACACAGTAAATAGTTAAATTAGTGTATAATTTCAAATTGAGACAAGTGCTACAAAGATGATGAACATCTCCATACTGTGAAAGGGGACTGGGTATGACTTCAGGTGTGACTTGAAGATAGAGATCTTCTAAGAGCAGAGTGAAGAGCAAGTGTGAAGGCACCAAAGCTGCAAAATCTTGGTACATTTCAGAAACTGAAAGGAAGGCAAAGCAGCTAGTGGGTAGCCATTGAGAAGGAGGTTACATATTGAGGTTGTGTGTTAATTTCATGACTTACTATGTGCCAGGCACTATGCTAAATTCCATTTCATTTCACATGCTCAAAACCCCTTCAAAACAGTTACTATATAGTAGATGAGAAATTAAGGGTAAGAGCAGCGATTCTCACCCTGGCTGCATTTTAAGATCACCTGTGGATCTATTACAATTTCTAGTGCCTGAGCATCACCCTCCATATATTCTGATTTGATTGGACTGAAGAGGGGGCCTGGGCCCTTTTAATAAATCCCTTGTGTAATCCTAATATGAAGCCAGAGTTGAGAATCACTGTCTTAGAGTTAATTTGCCCAGGGTCACTTGGCAACTAAGTGGCAGAGGAGAGAAATTAAACCTAGATCTGTCTGATTCTACAACCTGTGCTTTTAGCTACTCACTAGTGCCCTGTCAACATTCAACGACATGTAGCACCAGTTGCATGCTAAAAACTTTGTAAAACACTGAGAAATAAAAATGAACAAGGCAGAGCCCTTGCCTTCATTGAATTCACAGCCTTTTAAGGCAGAAGTCTCAGTAAATGAAGCTAGGCCAGCTCATGTAGGCAGAAGCAAGTCAACTGAGGACTGTCATTGAGATCAGATATGTTCTTCCTATTTTAAGCTAGATTGGCACTGAAGGTAACTGGTGCATCAGGGGATCTACGTAGGCAGCTATTGCAATCATCATCTGAGAGATGGTACAAGCCTGAACTAAGGCAATGGTGAGGTTCAAAGAGAATTGGCAGGACTTGCCGACCACTGACATGAGGGTGAGGAAAAGAAAGAAGTGGAAGATGACTTCAGAGTTTTGAGTTTGATGGACAGAGTGGAAGTGAACACCACTGATCTAGCACAAGAACACAGGAATTGAATCTGGGGTTGAACGAGTTTGAAATACTTGTTGAGCATTTAGGTAAAAATGTCGAATAGAGTACTGGAAATGTGCATCTGGAATTCAAGTGAGCAAACGGATAGAAATAGAGATCTGGAATCCTTGACCTCCAGGTGGTAGTTGAAGGCATGCCTTGCATAGTGTGTATGCTGTGTATGGAAGTTTTTTAAAAAGACAATAGAGATCAAGAGGAAAAAAATCCACAAAACCTGACCTTGCTGTATTTGAATAGTTCAATAAAGCTATTTTTATCTGCAGTGATATTAAACACAGTCAACTCATGATTATCTATGATGAGATTTTAATACTTTCCAGACCTTCCCTGGGCACACAGCAAATTTAACAGATGATGCATAACCATGGAATGCAAACCAATTTTAAATATTGGCTAAATATTTAAGAATGCTATATGATGCATTCGGAACTGTAACAGAAATATCCTACAACAGTGTTTTCACACATAAATAATTTGATGTAACCCTAGTTTTGACTTCAATCATTTTGATAATATTACTCAAACCTACAAAAATTATAATGTTCTAAACATAAAACTAGGTAGAAGATCCTTAGGCTTAACTCCTACTTCTGTAAACCAAAACATTTGCAAAATAAATATGAACAAAAGCATAAAATAAGTAAGCTTCAAATTATAGTAATGTGAAAGGTGTTTTTTGAAACTGAAGCATTTCAATAAAGACTGAAGTAGTTGCTACAGAATGAATTATTTTGAGATAAAACGTGCTCTTATTACTGTTCATCACGTGATGGCCCAATTCTTTCACTACTTCTCTTTATTCAACCTTTATTTGTACAGTCTACCCTACCATTATTTGGCCTTCATTTAGAGCAAATGATAATTTAAATCCATCTCTGTTGTTTTTTAATCAATGTAAGACAATTAGAATCCAATCTTAAGAGAAATCATGTAGCAGTGCTCTGCTAGAACGTGTTTATCAACATGATTCACAACATGCTTGTATTAATATTTGAAGGTTATCATGTAATTAAAATCACATCATTTAAAAATTCTCCAGTAAATTTAGGGACCACTGAGAATGTACTCATGTCCTCTAAAGATCTGCAA